AAAATAAGACATTTCACTCTCTATAGATATATTTTTAATGTCTGTAAGGCAAAGATATAGACGGAGTTTCGCGCTCGAGACCGAGACGGCAGAAAGCGCCTCCTGCTTGTTTTCATTATTTTACAAAAGTGCGGTATTGTGAGTGCACACAAAATAAACGTGGAGATGTATTACTCTTATCTGTATGACCAAAAATGACGGAGTATTTTAGGCGTAAGTGAGGGCCCCAGCGCCTCCATCTGTCCTGCAGTGAGCGGGACAGATGGAGACTGTTCAGCTTCCACACACTAGAATAGCGCACATTTCTCTAGGTTATTAGATTGAGCGGCCATGTAAAGTTGCTAATACTTACATATTTCAGATGATAAGCCATATTTGAGTGGTCGATGAATGATAGTGGAGCGTTTGGATGTCCTGCCCATAGATGTACTGTATTACCACATAGACTAGCCATTAACGATCTGTTAACCACAGACTTCGCCTGTGGATTTTCTTTTTCTGCGACTAATTACATTTTGGTCTACTAACGATTAGTCGATTATTAGGGGGCAGCCCTAAAAATTATGTTATTATAATTTTACTTTATTTTGCATAATTGTGACTTTACACACAGTGTGACTTTATATCTCCAGATTGAGACTATTGTCACTTTATATATCGTAATTATGACTTTATTTAGCATAATTGTGACTTAATATTTTACAATGTGATTTTATGTTTCACAAATGCAAGTTTATTTGGCATAATTGTAACTTCATGTGACTTTATATCTTCAAACTGTGAACATATTTTTGTATTGTTGTGACTTTATTTCTCACAATTTCACTGTATATTTCACAATTGTGACTTTATTTAGCATAGTTGTGACTGTATTTTTACAGTGTGACTTTATATTTCCATATTGTGACTTTATTTATTGTAATTGTAACATTATAACACAATGTGATTTTATATTTCACAAACGTGACTTTACTTAGCATAATTGTGACTTTATATTGCAAATTTTTTTATATCTCCGAATTGTGACTATTTTTTACAACTGTGACTTTATATCTTCTTTATTTCTTGTAATTGTGTCTTTATAGTTCACAATGTCACTGTATATTTCACAATTGCAACTTTATTTCTTTATTGTAATTGTAACTTTATATTTCACAATGTGATTTTATATCTACAAATTCTGACTTCTTTTTTGTAATTGCAACTTTATATCTTGTCATTTTGATTTTATTTCTGTTAGAACTTTATATTTCACAAAATCACTTTATATTTCACAATTGTGCTTTTAGCCTAATTGTGACTTTATATTTTGCAATGTGACTATATATTTCCAAATTGTGACTTTATTATTCATAATTGACTCTATTTTTTATAACTGTGACTTTATTTTTCGTAACTGCAACTTCATTTAATGTACTGTAATTTTGACTACATATCGCAATTGTGAATTATACTTCACAATGTGACATTATTTACTGTAATTGTAACGTCTCATAATTGCAATTTTATATCACATTGTGACTATATATCTCTCCCTCTGATTTTATTTCTCAAAATGATCTGTTTCATTTTTACTCAAGGGTTGAAATAGGCTTCCAAACAATCTCACTGGGAAAAGATCTGAGAAGATATGTCAGGCTAATTCAGGCTTAACAGAGAATATTTTATGAGCCTGTATCTTTACTTGATACTGAACATTTCTCTTTATACAGTGTATTTCCCAGCAGAGCAGGTTATTATGTGTAATCCAGCAATAAAAAAATATAGTCAATGAGATTTCTCGCTTCTGAACTATCATAATCGATGGGAATCATTAGACATCAGTACTTAAGTCTGCAATCTAATGCTTTATTCACTAAAATCAACATATATGTCCCATCTTCATGATTCACAGCCCATTTTTGATTCATAAATGACTAGCAAAATGTCACAATCACCACTTAACTGATAAAGACCCAAAAGCGCCCCAACGTAGGATTAAAGAGATTCACGCTAAATTCAGACTAAAGGTTTGTTCTAATTTAACCGATCAATCTGATAGCTTCATGCAATACGTGTAAAATTATCTGTTCTGTCAGCTCCATCTGAATCCATTAAAGTGCATGAAGAAAAAACGAGGCCCAGCGGGAGGGTAGAATTTAGACTGACTCATACACACTCACACAGTTCCTCCCCGCCTACAATAAAATAGCACACACACACAATGACTCTCTCCATCCACTACACACAAGCTTTCCTCAATTTCCTACTACCCCCTGCCACTGCACAGCAGCTCACACACATACTGTACAGCACAAGGCACTTACATTGACCTACTCACACACATACAGCACACACTGGGGGCAGAGACAAGCACGAGTACAATCCGAGAGTGGACAGTATGTGTGAGTGTGTGTTAAAAGAGCTTAAAGGGTTAGTTCACCCAAAAATGAAAATTAGGCTGCGTTTTACTCACCCCCAAGGCATGCTAGGTGTATATGACTTTCTTCTTTCAGACGAATCCAGTCGGAGTTATATTAAAAATTGTCTTTGATCTTTCAAGCTCTATCAGTGCAGTCAGCGGGTGTTGCATTGCTTCAGTACAAAAGAAGTTAAATAAAAAGCGCCCATCCATTAAAAAAAAACGTCTCACACGGCTCCGGGGGGTGAACAAAGGCCTCCTGTAGCGAATCGATGCGTTTTTGAAAGAAAAATATCCATATTCATAACGTATGTCAGAGGATTTCGATATAAGCCAAGGGGAAACTGGTTTTCAAGTAAGGAAACTTTGCTTCCTTTGCTCCTGTTAACAAATGTTGGTTTTCATGAGACTCACCGGCGCATGCGCTGCGCTGAACTCATACGTCATGCTCCCGGAGCTGCTTCCGTGTACAACTGCTGGCGCAAGCTAGATTAAAGTGATTATTACGTTTTGAATATGGATATTTTTCTTACAAAAACACATCGATTCGCTACAGGAGGCCTTTGTTCTCCCGTATGAGACACTTTTTTTATGGATGGGCGCTTTTCATTTAACTTCTTTTGGACTGAAGCAATGCAACACCCGCTGACTGCAATGATAGAGCTTGAAAGATCAAAGACCATTTTTAATATAACTCCAACTGGATTCGTCTGAAAGAAGAAAGTCATATACACCTAGGATGCCTCGGGCGTGAGTAAAACGCAGCCTAATTTTAATTTTTGGGTGAACTAACCCTTTAAGTGTCAAAACCAAAAATGTGAACCCTCTCCTGCAGCACTTTAACAAGAACATGCATTTATTAGCCGAAACTCTTATTCAATAGATGCAGTAGATTTGATTCCTTGTTCAATACATTTGCAAGCTATTCCAATGTAGTTCAAATAACACCACACTGAAAATTCACTGAAGGGGGAAAAAAATCTGTCGTTATTTACTCGCCATCATCATGTCAAACTTTTATGTTGTTGTATATGGAACACAAAAGGATCTGAACATTTTCATATGAATGTCATGGTTAAAAAAGCACTGTAAATGTATTGAAAAAAATTACATTGAGAAATTAGGGTTTATTAAGGGTTAAGTATATTAGGGTTCTGTTTTTATTTTATTTATTTTTACTGAATGGAACTGAATTAACGAAAAGAACCTTTTTGGCCCAAAAAAAGGCGTGAGTAAAACGCAGCCTAATTTTAATTTTTGGGTGAACTAACCCTTTAAGTGTCAAAACCAAAAATGTGAACCCTCTCCTGCAGCACTTTAACAAGAACATGCATTTATTAGCCGAAACTCTTATTCAATAGATGCAGTAGATTTGATTCCTTGTTCAATACATTTGCAAGCTATTCCAATGTAGTTCAAATAACACCACACTGAAAATTCACTGAAGGGGGAAAAAAATCTGTCGTTATTTACTCGCCATCATCATGTCAAACTTTTATGTTGTTGTATATGGAACACAAAAGGATCTGAACATTTTCATATGAATGTCATGGTTAAAAAAGCACTGTAAATGTATTGAAAAAATTACATTGAGAAATTAGGGTTTATTAAGGGTTAAGTATATTAGGGTTCTGTTTTTATTTTATTTATTTTTACTGAATGGAACTGAATTAACGAAAAGAACCTTTTTGGCCCAAAAAAAGTTCTTCAGGATAAGAGATGAATTAACTAAACGAGTTGTTGATGACTGTGTAATAGTTATTTTAAGTTTATTTCAGTGATAAAATACACTATATGTTTCATTGATACATACATGAAATAGCACTTCAACAAGAATATAATCCATAAAATGTTATGATCTCATGTTTAGAATCCTAAAAGGATTCTATCTTTAAAAATAAAAGCTTTTAGCATCAATAGTTCCACGAAGAACCTTCAGTATATTAAAAATGTCTTCATATTCTTAGGGGAAAAGGCTTTTAAGAACATATTCTTTTAATATAAAGGTTTTTTGGGGAACCTAAAATGGTTCTTTTATTTGCATCACTATATATAAATGTTTTAGAACTATTGGGTCTTTTGATTAAATTCTCAAAAAAAAAAACTATATCTAAAAAATCTTCATCTGTAATGAACCACAGCAGGGGGTCCAAATATGGCAGTGATATAATCCTTAAAAGTTCAATATAAAAGAATTGTGACCCTGTCTTGTGAAAACCCAGCTAAAGTCACTTTTTGTGATTTGCTGTTTTCTACAATAAAACCATCCTTCATAAGGTAAAGAACTTTCTGTGAAAATGTAACCTTGATACCTTTAATACTGACGGAGCAAGACCATGCCAAAGATTGAAATCAGAGTGAAATCAAAACTTTGATGCTTGTTATATCATAATTAGATTTTGAGACTTTAGCCTGGATTTCACAGAGAGGGTCACAATTTCTTCTAAGATTGAAATGGCACTTCTTGGAACTTTTTTGGTGTGCATACTTGTTTTTATTTACTTATTTAAGGAAGACGAGTACCTTGGTGGGACCGTGGTATTCTTGAAAGTACTGCACTACATGGTCCAGCCACAGTGCCACACAATGCGTTAATTACCTTGTGTTGTTTCCACATGGCGGCCAGGGGCTTCACGTCGTGCTTGCTGTGTTTGCCCTCCTCCAGACACTGGTAGCACACGGGGGTCTTGCAGCTGACGCAGTACATGCCGTAGTTCTCCGCTTCGTGGTCCACGCAGCTCGCCTGTCTGCGCGCGGAGGCGGTCCCCTGCGCTGGAGCGGCCGGCGGCAGCAGCCGGTGCTTGGCCAGCGGTCCGCGGGAGGGGTGGCAGCGCTGCTGGCACGGAGCGCAGTAGAACACATCGCACTGCTCGCACATCACCGTGGCGTCCACCGGATTGCGGTCGCACAGCTGGCATTTGACGGAGGCGGCGCGGCTCTGCTGGTAGCGGGACACGATCGCCTCCAGCAGCCGGTTGCGCTGGAAGCCGCGGAGCCCGCGCTCCTCCAGGGACACGCTGCGGTGGCACAGCGGGCAGGTGATGGAGCAGTGGCGGTGCACCAGCGCCGGCGGGAACACGCGCACTCCGTTGGGAGACTTCAGGCACGGCGTGTATGAGCCGTAGCCACTGTCCGTCTCGCTGTACATGCTCATCTTGTCCATATCCAGATAGTCATAGTCCGAGGAGCATCGGTTCTGCGGAGGGGTCTCTCCCTCCGGGGTCTGCACGATGATATTCCGAGCACACGCCAGGCAGACATTATGAGAGCACGGTAAAATAATCGGCTCCTTGAAGAGAGAACCGCAAACCGGGCATTTCAGTTCTTCTTCCATCGCGTTCAATGAAATCAGAGCAGCACTACAGACGCGGACAGCTCCAGTTACCCGCTCCGCGCATGCGCAGTGAGAGAACGGTTGTGGGCGTTGTAGTCCCTACGCTGATACCCGCCGCTTCTGCTGACCACTTAAAAACTACAACTCCCGTAACTCCGCTAATTAAATGCAGCGAGAGGAATTTGTATTATCGTCCCGTATTCAAAGGGTCATAGGTTTGGCCTAATTTGCAATTTAAAGAAGCCCGTGTGTAAACAACCCCGTCAAAGGAGGACAGGCGTTGTAATTGTGCTGGCATCCGAGAGAGCTGACCAGTCGCCTATTTCTGTGAGTGGCCGTGAATAATTAGAGCAAGGAATTTTTCACAGCATGCATCGGGCTGCTTACAGTCCAACCCTGCCCACACAGTCTAATTACAGCACAGAATTAATGAGCACTTCATCACACCACCTTATCTAATGATTGACTAGTAATGGGGAAAATATTACATTCATATAAAAAATAAATAATGGGGAAAATATTGTACTCGTGTAAAAATCAATAATGTGTATTTATACATAAGCATTTATAGTAGCTACTTTTTTTCTTGAAATACATGGTTTAAAAAAACACACAAATAGTATAATTTTTCTAGTTTTAGGTTTATATACATACATACATACATATATATATATATATATATATATATATACAGTATGTATAGGAAAAATAAATAAGTGAAAATTGAGAAATAGGACAGAAAACGTCAATCACAAAAGATTTCTGATTAATGTCCAGTCCAATATAAACTAATAGTGCAGGGTTAAAATATGTATTTGACAATCAGGGGCACAAAGGCACATGCTTTTGTTCACTCTCACATGCCTGTCGTTTTATTCAGAGGCGCGAGACTGATCCGTGAGATTAGGCTGGGGGTCTGCCAAGACTAAATGAACTCCTGTCAAAACCCAGAGGGTGACGCATACAATACTGGAAAAACAGTGTCCATGTTGTGTGCATCAGTGCAAACCAGATTGCATCAAATAGTGAAGTTAGATATTCTTGCATGCATTACAATTCTTGTTTCAAATTGATTTAGAAGATAATTTCATTTCATAGTCCCATGAACAGTGCCAACACCTTAAACCTTTCCCCATCTTATCATTTTTAAATTAAAAGTTGTCTTTTAATGGAGGGTTAAAACAACGAAACACAAAACAATAAGACCTTGCTAATATTTGATCAAGGATATGAAGTCTGGCAGAGAACAGAAACAGCAGGATCAAAGAGAAAAGGAATATTTTTAATAACTCTGCCAAGACTTTGGCTTTGGGATTTTTAACAGAGCCTTATTTTTATTACACAATTCCCTGTACACCAGGGGGCACTACATTTAAAAGCTTCGACATCTGAAGCATAGCCTCAAAATAATACAGCATATTCATGATAAGTGTGTATAATGCACCTTGCTTTTTTAAACCAGATGTTTACTAGTTTATGTGTACAAAAACACACTCAAAAAAAGCAGTATATATAACAGTGTTTTCATCTCAACACCTGTCTTTTTGTTTGATTGAAATGACAAATGTAATTCTTTACATTTTAATAGGGCAATATGAATTTCCATTTACTTTAATAATATACAGTTCATTATAAATGATTAAAGAACCAACAGCCGATCTCTCGACAAAGCACAATACACTAAATATTATTACATTTAAGTGTTACACAGTTGCCATTTGGTTTAGACATAGAAGCGTTTCTGTTACAGAATAAAAAAAATAAAAGGTAATTACAATTTGTTTCTCTCAATTCTCACTTCTGAGAAAAAGAGCTCATAATATAAACTCGCAACAAGTCTGAATTTCAAAATATTAACTCAGAACTGAGATGTTAACTTGCTATTTCAATTCGAAGTTCATAAGCAATTCTGACAAATTCTAATCGTAAGCAATAAACTCACAATTAGACAATTCTGAATTGTGGGATATAAACTCGCAATTGAGAGAAAAAAGTCTGAACTGAGATAAAAATTTGCAATTAGTCACAGGACTGTACTTTTTTTTTTTTGCTCGCTTTACAACTTACATTCATTTATATCTCACAACGGCATATCTTGCCATTCTTTTTTTCTCAGAATTGCAAGAGAAATCAGAATCGTGAGATAAAAAAAAGTCACAATTACCTATTTTGTTTTATTCGGTGGCGGAAATTTAAAGGATGCAATTAGAGATTTTTTTTAATTCTCCTTTTGTGTTCTGTGTACAACAACATAAAGGTTTGTCATAAAGGTGAGTACAAAAAAAAAAAAGACAGAATTTTTATTTTCAGTGAACTATTCCTTTAAAGAGTGTGAGAGGTTAGGAGTGCATCGCAACACCAAAAATGAGTCACATGAGTGCAATGTAGTGAAATGTACTGAGATTTGAAGACCGACGTCCGAGCTCATCTCTATTAGACGAAGGACATGGTGCTCTCGGGGTTGACCCTGACAGACCGAGAGCTCTTCCTCAGATCCTGGAGCTGTTTGGCTGGTTTCCCGACTCCCTCCTCAAACCGCTTCTCCACAACAGGAAGCACCGTCTCATGCAGGAACGATGCGTTCTGCAGAATAAAGGCCTTTTTCTCGGCCTCCTGCTCGCAGCGCAGGCTGTAGTCCACATGCTGCACCGCCACCAGGATGATCTCCCGCAGGCTCTCCAGAAACACCATGTGCAGCTCTGGGAAGTACAGCTTCAGCCCTTCCTCCAGGAAGGCCATCATCTGCTTGGTGAAGGCCACAATGGTGTAGCTCAGGTTGACCCAGCAGTCTTCTCCCGTATACTGGTCGAAACTGCCGATCCCGCAGCTTCGCATTTCGTCCTTGAGCTTGGCCAGAGCTTCAGGAGTCATCAGGTTCATCCTACGCCACATCTCCTCAGAGTTACGATGCCTCGTTGCTTCTATGATGATGTCCTTCTGGCTTTGGAGAGCCGCCCTGATGTCTTTCACGAGTAACAACTGCAAAATGAAGGTCAGATCCAAGCCGATCTCGCTCAGCTGCCTGCAGTGCTCACTGGCGAACTTCACGCACTCTGCAGCCGTGGACAAGCTCTCTTTGCTGTCAAACACCTGCTTGCTGAAGGCATCTACGAACATCTTCATCACCGAGCGAGACCAGACCACAAAGGCGGAGTAGCAGCCAGTGTTGCCTGCGAAATCAGTCTCAAACTCCCTGGCGGTTTCAAGCAGGCTCGTGAAGAAGATGTTGCAGAGCTTTTGGATGTAAAGCAGCGTGGCGCCCTCGATGCGAAGCTGGCGGATGGCGGTTTGGACGGCCGCCGCTCTGTTTTTCAAAAACAGCTCACAGGCCTTCGTGGACTGTCCCAGGCGAATGAGTTGAGAGACGGCTCGCCGCGTAGCTTTAGGTCCTCCACGGAGCGAGCGATCAGGCGAGAGTTCGAACACCAGGACCTCCGTCAGCTGTCGAACCCGCTCATCCACCTTCCCCCTCAGCTCCTTCACGCGTGGGCTCACTGGTTGCTCCTTCAGATATTCGTTTAGCTTATCCAGAAGATCAACAGCACCCTCAAAGTCTCTCTGAGCGATGCACACGTCAAGGTCTTCTGGAAGCTCCTGGATCCATTCGGGACTGAGATCCACCAGTTCCTCTGAACCCAGAGGCTCGTCCTCATCAAACGGGTTTGTGGAGACGTCCTGCCGGACCGGCGACGCTGGCACCTCCTCTTCCTTTATGTTTTTGTCTTTCGCCACTTTGTTTTTCTTCGTTTCCTCCAGAATCTCCAGCCACTCTTTCTTGATCTTGCTGTTCTCGGCTTTGAAGATGCGGCTCTCGGGGAACATGAGGATTTTGAACATGTCCTTCATCGGAGGGTTGTCTTTTACGTTCACAACCGCAAAGCTTTCTAGATCATACAGCGCATTGTATTTGTATTTCACGGCTCCGCGTCTGTTCGCCAGCCAGGTTGCGATGAGCAGGCAATCGTTCATCAGAAACGCGTGAACCTTTTGGATCTGTGACATGTTGTCTGCGTCATACTCCAAAAGATCCCCATTATAGACCAGATATCTGCCGGGGGTTTCCATGATGTTCTTGCAGCCCTCCACTTTTTCCAAAAGTGTGGTCAGGGTTCTTTGTTTAACCTCTTCGGTTTCCTTTGGGAAGGCTGCCAGCATCTCTTTGGCTGCTTCGTCTTTATCTGTGGACAGGAGAGACTGTGTAATGCTCTCCATTATGCTCTTCTGCTCGGTGAGAATGTGACTCAGCTGATACATCTCACTTTCCAAGTAAGAAATCTCCTTGGCTGTCTCAATAAACTGTCTGTAGTTTTTATAAACATTTTTCTTCAGGTTCTGCGCGGTTTCGTCGGCCAGTGTTTGTATTTTCTGACGGTGCTCTTGTAGGTCTCGGTCCCCGTCCGACTGCTGCGAGAGCTGCTGCACGTACGATTGAGGGTCAAAATTAGGGCATTCCAGCAACTTACGCAAACGATTTCCAGTGTCTGCCATTTCTTTGTTCGATGTTACGGCGAAAATGAAACACAAATGTGAGGATAAATGCGTGAAAATCCGGCTCTCAGCTGCAGAGCTGCTCGCTTCCTCAACGCAGGCGACGCCCGACGCATCACGTGACGCGCGAGCGTTTCAAAGTACTGAGCACGCATAACAACACAGAGTCACTCACTTATACTATGTTTGAATAATTTAATACTAATTACATGTACATCTAGTAAGACGTTGTTGTTTGTGTCTGGTGTATGGCACATGTCTTTTAGCGTTGCTGTCCGTGTTAATAAGCATAATAAGTAAATAAATAAAAAGCTTGACTACAAAAAAACCCCCACATCGGGTCAGTAACTGTCAAATGTATGTATATACATGTTATATTTTAATTCATACACTTTTATTGCAAACGTAGCTTAAAGTAGTACATATTTATATAACGTATAGAATTATACAGTATTAAAACTGTACACACGGCTTAACATTTGTGACCCTGGAGCACAAAACCAGTCATAAGGGTAAATATTTTGAAATTGAGATTTATACATCATCTGAAACGGAATAAATAAGCTTTCCATTGATGCATGGTTTGTTAGGATAGGACCATATTTGGCTGAGAAACGACTATTTCAAAATCTGGAATCTGAGGGAGCAAAAAAAAAAAATCAAAATAGTGAGAAAATCGCATTTAAAGTTGTCCAAATGAAGTCTTTAGCAATGCATGTTACTAATCAGAAATGAAGTTTTGATATATTTACAGTAGGAAATTTACTAAATATCTTCATGGAACATGATCTTTACTTAATATCCTAATGATTTTTGGCATAAAAGAAAAATCGATAATTGTGACCCATACAATGTATTGTTGGCTATTGCTACAAATATCCCCCAGCGACTTAAGACTGCTTTTGTGCTCCAGGGTCACATTTTATAAACGCAATAAAAGTAAATTGTCTTTATTTTATTAAATATGTCATTAAATGCCCATCTGAGTAAAACCCAGAAAAACCTAATTGAGTGTGTCACCTTATCGGTAGGAAGTGTTCAGAGTAAAATATTTGCAGAAGTATCCAATATTCCTTCTAGTAATTAATAATTAAATATCAAATAATAAATAACTGACCAATAAAATGACAAAAAAAACTAATAATTCTACGATTTGTCGTTGTTTGTGTGGATCTAGCAACTCCGTGCAACTATTTTTATTGGTCACCATTTTACGTCTCCAGTTCCAGGGGTTGTTATTTTTGTAGCGTTATTGTAATGCATATTTTAACATCTCCAATGTTGCTCTGTTCGTGCATATAACGTAACATTATAACTATTAGACTTACAAATACATTTCCCCAGCATTCCCAACTCTGTGTGACTTCACGGTTGGCCAGCAATGTGGCTCTCACAGGGCTCTAGTGGAAAGCAGACTGAAGATGGAGGACGAAGACTTCTTACTCGCTCTTCGCTTACAAGAGCAGTTTGATCAGGAGACCGCGACTGATGAAGACCACCCGTCCAGCAAGAAGCGGAAGATTGAGTCCTCTGGGCTGATGGATGTGATGTCTTACTCCCAGCCCAGTCCAGAGAGACCGCTGTCCATCGTGGACGCGTCGTGGGAGATGCTGGACCCCAGTCCGGACGTGAGGGCCATGTTCCTGCAGTTCAGTGACCAGTTCTTCTGGGGGAAACTCAGCGGGGTGGAGGTCAAGTGGAGTCCGCGGATGACACTGTAAGAGCCACACATCTAGCGGACAGCACGATGCAGTCTGGTGCTCACCAGAACCTGTATTAGAGAGACAGATGACTTTGACTTATGTTCATTTCTGGCCGACACTGCGTGCATAATTATTAGGCAAGTTGATATTCTTCTGATCATATTTTTTCCAAGCACATTTGACCAATTCCTAACCACATCAATCGTAATAACTACATTTAATCATTTATAAGTGATATATAATTGTCCACGAAGGCTTGAAGTGAAAACTCCTTATAGTCAGGTGCAGTGTTGGGGAAAGTTACTTTTAAAAGTAAAGTAATGCATTACAATATTGCGTTACTCCATAAAAAAGTAACTAATTACGCTACTTGGTTACTTTTTATGGAAAGTAATGCGTTGCGTTACTTTTGCGTTACTTTTTAAATCTGGACAGGGCTTGCTTGTTTGTTTTTAAAATAAAAAAGTTCTATTTTTGGCGAATATAAAAGCCTTTTCACACCAAAAGTGAAATGAATAAGCCTCAGGCTGAAGGGAAAGTACATTTACGTCCGTACAGTAGAATGCAGAAGAAGACATTTATATAAAAGACACAAATGTTTGTCTAGAGTAATTTGTGCTTATTAGTACGCTTGAACTGGATCATCGAAGGTCAGAAGCAAAGACATTGCTTAATAGAATGGGATTAAATACATAAAGGATATTTGTGTTGTTTAACATTTAACTATTGCAGGTTTGCGTCATATTCTGAGTTACATTATTTTTGTTCATTTTAATAGAATGGGATTAAATACATAAAGGATATTTGTGTTGTTTAACATTTAATTATTGCATTATTTTTATTAATTTTGAGGAATACTGAATATGTGGTTTTTTGTGTGTGAGATGAATTCATGCATATTCATATTTATTTAGAACTACAGTAACATCTTCTGATTTCTCTCAACATGAGGACAGGAGAGCTGTCAGTCAATAAATTGGAAAAAAAAAAAGTTACTCGCGTTAATTATTTGAAAAAGTAACTCAGATATTCTCTTGTAAATTAAAAAGTAATGCGTTACTTTACTAGTTACTTGAAAAAAGTAATCTGATTACGTAACTCGCGTTACTTGTAATGAGTTGCCCCCAACACTGTTCAGGTGTGCATAATTATTAGGCAGGTTTTCTTTTACAGATAAAGTGAGCCAAAAAAAGAGAGATTTAATTCAGACTGAAAGTCACAAAATTATTAAATGCCCATGAGAAAGATGCAGTACTAGAATTTGTGAAGTTAAGGCATGACCATTGGACAGTGAAATGCTCCTTGGGTCAGCAAGGTCAGGAAAAAAACCAAAAAAGACACGTTGGAGATCAAAAGACACGTTACCTACATGTTAACTTCCAGAATCTGGCAGTAAGTTTTGGGAAGTTATTTTTAGTCCATCTCCTATCCTGAAAAGTATGGAAGTCCGTTTCCGCCACTGAATAAAAAAAAAATTTTTTAAAAAAGGTAATAGCGGTAATTGACTTTTTTTCTCAGAATTGTGAGATATAAACTCGCTATTGCAAGTTATAAAGTCAGAATTGCGTGATATAAATTCGGAATTGCGAGTTAAAGTCCAAATTTGAGAGGGGAAAAAAGACTGACATGTTCTCAGAATTGCGAGTTTATATCTCACAATTGCAAGTTATAAAGTCAGAATTGTGAGATAAAAAGTCGCAATTAACTCTTTTATTTTTTATTAAGTGGCGGAAACGGAGTTTTGGGAAGTTATTTTTAGTCCATCTCCTATCCTGAAAAGTATGGAAGTCCGTTTCCGCCACTGAATAAAAAAATTTTTTTTTAAAAAAGGTAATAGCGGTAATTGACTTTTTTTCTCAGAATTGTGAGATATAAACTCGCTATTGCAAGTTATAAAGTCAGAATTGCGTGATATAAATTCGGAATTGCGAGTTAAAGTCCAAATTTGAGAGGGGAAAAAAGACTGACATGTTCTCAGAATTGCGAGTTTATATCTCACAATTGCAAGTTATAAAGTCAGAATTGTGAGATAAAAAGTCGCAATTAACTCTTTTATTTTTTATTAAGTGGCGGAAACGGGCTTCCATACTAAACTTACGGCCAGATTCTGGAAGATAAGTTCTTGAAAGAGTGGTACAAGAGGATGTGGTGCTGGTCCTTCAAGAGTCATAAAGCCTTAACCAAGCAAAGTCTCTGAGAACCTGACACATTGCTCTTCTGGAGACTCCAGGTAGGTTGCGGTTCTGAAAAATGGTGGCGCTGGAGACTAAACGGTTCCTGATGGTTTCACACCTAATTCTTTTGCACTTAGCATGTGTCTTTTCTTCTCCACCTGTTTTTTTCTGACCGTGCTGACAGCATTTCGCTGTCCAATGGTCATGCCTTAACTTTGCAAATTCCAATATTGCATCCTTCTCATGGACATTTAATTAATGGGCATTTTGGAATTATATATCACTTATAAATGATTAAATGCCAAATTAATAGTAGTTATTAAGATTAATGTGGTTAGGAATTGGTCAAATGTGCTTGGGAAAAAAAATATGATCAGAATATCAACTTAATAATAATTAAGTTGATAATAATAATTGTTGATAATAATTATGCACGCACTGTAATGTTTGACTCCCTCAGATGTGCTGGTGTTTGCTCTTATGAGGGAAGAGGAGGCTTGTGTTCTATTCGACTCAGTGAGCCACTCCTGAGGCTCAGACCCCGCAAAGATCTTGTACAGGTTGGTTAAACTTTTTTTTTTTCACTTTGAAAGTTAAAATAGAATCAAAACATCCCCATTTAATTCCTTAACCATTTAAATATTTTAGTGTAATTCAAAAAAAGTCCTCCAATAGATATTAAATGGTTTTTATTAAATACACATTAGAATAACTTATATTGCTAGTAATATTTCAAGATGAACATTTACTGTAAATTAGGTTTAACAATATTGTAACCGTGATATGTAACAAATAGGGCCTTTCGCACCGCGGGAACCTTTTCATAGTACCAGAACTAATTGTGGAATTACCCACTTTTTGGCATTTTCGCACCGCCAGAACTGGGTGCGATTTCTACTCCGGAGCAGGGTCTAACCAGCACAACTGGTACTAATCGTGACGTAAGTAGACATTGATTGGCCAAACTCGTACGAAAACGCCCTCACCCGCCATGATTTAAAACGCCGTGAGAACATACTGTAAACATTGTGTCAACTTATTTCGCAAGTATGGAGAACAGCGATAGATGGACGGACGCTGAAGTGCAGGCACTTGTAGCAAATGTAGCACTGCCAGTTGTCGTTGGAGATACTTAGTCCTCTTTTCCATTCTTTCAAAAATCGTCCCAGTACTTTAGTACTGTACATTTAGTTCTGGGACTAAAGCGGTGCGAAAGGCCCTAAACAGTCTTACTGGTTGATTTTACAATATAAAATGTTAGAATAACATTTTAGAGTTTTAGAATAGCATAGAATATTTCAAGATGAACATTTACTGCAGCTTATGTTTACTTATGTTCATATTTTTTTAAAAAGATAAAAATTGTTTTAAAATTAGGAACTATTATCTTTCAGTCCTCTTTGTATTGCTTTGCATTAAGTTTTGCCCCCACAGTAAAAGCGACAGAGCTTTGATTATACAACTAAGAATTTAATTCTAATCTTACTAAGACACATTATTGGGAGATATCGGCCAAACAGAAAAACTTATCAGCCGATGCCGATATTTGAAATATGCCAAATATCGGCCGATATATATCGGCATTGGCGATATTTCAGTCGACCACTAATATCGAGTGACAAATGATATTTACAATAGGCCTGTATGCATTTTATATAAATATTCTGTAATAATGTAATAAATATGTCATTGATTTACATTACAAGCTATTGGATTTTCATTTTACTTTTTTGGCCATATAAATAACTTTTGCACTAAATTGCATATTTTTTTTCCCAGTTTTGGCTTCGGAATAAAAGTGAAGTGTTTTTTATCAGGGTATGAGCACTATATTCTCACTAAATAAAATTGTATAGACCATAAAAGTATCAAATATGATACAAAACATCAAACATATGCAACCGTTTTTGACAACATGAAGGTTTGAAGGTTCAATAAACTGTTCTATTGAAGAAAAAAAAGGGGGGGGATTTTTCAGGATATTATTTTTATATTTTATTTTATATTTATTATTATGTTGTCCTCATTTGTAAGTCGCTTTGGATAAAAGCGTCTGCTAAATAAATAAATACATTTCATATGTCAGGCTTTACAGGGTTAATTCATGTTTTGGTCATATTGTGCACAATTCAACACTGTTCACACAACACTACACCTTATTCTAAATAAAAAAAGGTTTGTTTTTGTAATCTATCATTAAAATGTAATAACTTGATCCATCTCTTAAGCATCTTTTTTCTTTCTGCTTTATGTGAGGAAAATTTAAATTCTCATTTACTTTTATTGTGTTTTTACGTTTCTGTCAGATTATGTACCTTAAATGTATTTTTTGATCAGCTGCATCTTGATTTTAATGTCACTGTTTCTTTCCTCAGACTCTTCTTCATGAGATGATCCACGCTCTTCTCTTTGTGACTCAAAACAACAGAGATCGAGATGGCCATGGTCCAGAGTTCTGCAATCACATGAACCGAATCAACCAAGCAAGTGGCACCAACATCACTGTAAGATGCGATTCCGATATTCAGTATTAAACCATATCCAGTTTGACGTCACCGTTCCCAGGGTCCAAATGCTCTATTATATCCCAAAAGCAAACACAAGTGGTGCTAATAAATACTAACAGTGTGTTGTAGCACCACCGAAAAATCATGATCCTAACCTTTACTTCCATACCGAAATCTGTTGGCCAGACAGTGAGTAATCTTTTATGAATCGTTAAAATATTGGTGACTGGGACACCATAAACCTGAAGACTGTAGCGTAGAGCATAGCTGCCTCCCAAAAGACGCACTATGTACTTATGCACCCAAATGAGCGGCCATGGCCATTAGGAAATTGAATGTGTTTCTTACCATATTATTTTAATGTATTGTCTTAATTATAAGCACACTGGGTTGTAGCACAAACAGTTTTACTATTTATTGCACTTTGTTATTCTTCTGGTTATTTCCCTACTGTGGCTAATGAAGCGGAAGTCTCGCACATTCACAGAAAACGGCTTACTTCCACATTGAAAAATAAGGTGGATACCACTTCCTGGGTTGATTGCGATCACTTCTGTATCTGCTTCTTCGCCCTGTTTTGATCCAGAAATTTTAACCACTTTCAGAAGATGTGCAATAGCGCCACCTACCGTATAACAGTGAATGTTTCTAATATATTTCAGAATAGATTTAAATAATGCTACAGTCAGGCCATGTTGTTTTTTTCCATAATTACTATTATACCATGTGGTGCTCTGTACCAGCAATGTGCAATAATTGTGCAATTTCAGTAATCAGACAAAACTGCAATACAACAACAAACATTATGCTTAATAAACTTTTTTTTTAAAGTTTAATGGGACATAAGACTATTAATTTCACATTTCTGTACTAGCTAAATTAAACTGTATTGTATTGTCCCTTCGTTGATCGCTTAACTACATTTTACGTTTGGAGCCGCTGCCATTGTAAGTTTTTCCATATGATGTTGCAGAGGTCAGGTGGTACAAGTGGCAGCTCTCGGAAAATTCAGAGTTTACGAGCAATAATTATGGATTGTACAAAGACGCGAACGCACCTTAAGGTTTCATGAACACAAAACTTCTCTGCCATTGGTCAAACAAACAGATCCCACCCCAAACTAATTCCATTGGTTGAGCTAGGGTTGCAATATGGAGTTGATCAAACAAACAAAGAGTAATGTTTTGATAGCCCCACATTGTATGCTTTTCTAGAAAATCAAACTTTAGCTTCAAATGACTGAACTATATCAATATGTATTGTGTTGCAGGCTCTGGCTCACAAGACATCAGAAATGTCATTCCATTCAATGGGAGAGGGTTTGTTCTTGGAGGGACTTCCACGAACAAGCAGAGTCAGAGTCCTCCTAAAGCACAACCCGAACCTCTCGCCTCTCCACCTGACTCACCGCTCCTTCCAAGACTGCAGCCCAGCGAGGCAAACTCGTTCAAAAGAGTCAGCTCAGGTGCATCGAATGTTCCCCGCAGAAAGTCTGTTAGTAACACTAATGCCTTCGTCAACGTCGACGGCTCGCCTGTGAGAATTTCCAAAGTCAATTACGTAAAAGGCAAGCAGAGGTCGGTACGAGATCTCTTCCAGGCCATAGTCCTCAAATCTCCAGAGAGAGCAGTCATTGCTGCTGGTTCCTCCAAGCCTGCCGCAGATGCCTCAACAGCAAACCCTGCTAAATGTAAGGGACCATCTTCATCTAGTGCCTTAGACGGGCAAACTAGCCTGATCAGTAACCATCACTCATACAGTGCCACAATGCCAAAGCCAGAGTCGCATGACTCGCATCTCTCCAAATATTTCGGCAGCAGTGCTCAAACGTCGAAATCCCAAGATTCACAGTCGAAAACTTTGGGAAGCCCCCAAAAGTCTGCAACTGGAACGGGTTACTTTTCCAAGCTCTTCGTAAGTAACCCAAAACTAGAATCAGATGCTTCAAGCTCAGGATTCCGAAACACTGGCGGTCCCCAAAGTTCACATGCTTCAGTTCCTTCAGGGTCCGGTTCCAAGCACTTTGGAGGCTCCGAAAAGCCTGAATCCAACTTTCCAAGCCCTAGGAGCATCGGCAGCCCCAGGACATCAGGGACGACGCCTTCAGGAGCCAAGAAGAGATCATGGGACGACCATAAATCTGAACATATCTTTGATTACTTCCAGCAGACAAATGGCAAGTCCTCGACGTCCACAGTGCAGCAGAGAGAGGAGGTGGAAGACTGCATTCTGCTAGTCAGTGATCAGCAAGCAAACAATCCTCCAATCCTGATCACCGTCCACTGCCCCGTCTGCCACATCAAAGTCCCAGAGTCCACAATTAATGAACATCTGGATTCCTGTCTGTCATAATCTCTGAGAGGAAGTACAGGCCGTAAGGCTTTAATAAAGCTAGGAGAGGTGTTTTGCTGTGATATTCCATTGCTCAGGTATAGCTTCAAATAGAAATATTAAATATTGTTTTATGTCATAGTAGTGAGATATTTTCATTCCAATGCAATAGCTATAAGCGACAGTTCTTAAAATAAATGTAATTTAAGTCTACAAAGCGCGCCATATTTGCTTTTGCACTTACTGACTTATTCTACCTCATTTTTGCATCATGGGAAGAATGTTGTTCGTGATTGACAGCTTAGTTGAAATTGAGCTAGTGGTTTAAAGAGGCGTCACTCGCTGTCCTTTTGTGGGTTGATGTCCGCGGTTCATGTCGAATCAGCAGTACTGAATTTTGCACGCGTTGGCTGTCCGCTGTGGGATTTAGACGTGCTTAGCTTTCCGGATCAGGCTTTGCAAGGTCGCTTTCATCTCGGTGTCGTCAATAACAGCTCTGGCAGGTTGGCCCATGAGTGGGGGGGCGGAGCTTGTGCCACCTTCTGCATAATAATTTCACATCTACTTTGTGCCCTAGAGGAATGCATGCATTCAAAAATTAACCCCACCCAGAAGTGAATATTGGGTGTGCAGGTTAAAACCTTCTGATGTAATAATAGTCATGATATATTGTTAAGTCACGAGTATTGTTGTTTCAAAACCAGCGACCCACCTTTGAAGGAAACAATGCCTGATGACGAGTTCACACGCTTTGGCGTGGTTCACTCAAAGGCCCGTGCGCATAACGTTGATTTACGTAAAAAGAGGCAGGACGCATTGATTTGTTTAGTGTTGACATGCTGCAGGCTTCAGGGATGTCATTTGTAATGTATGCGTGTCGTTTTAACATGCACTACAGGAAGCACATGTTTGAAAGTTCGGAAAGAACTTAATGTTCATATATCAAAAGTTTTTGTCTTTGATGCCCAAATAGTTTGATTCGAATGTTCGCAACTAGCCCAACAATGTTCACTTCGAATTGTCTCGAGACAAAGTTAAGTTCATTTTAACTTGACTACCATATTTTTAAAATGCTGTCATGCGTGAGGTGCTGCAAATAGACACGACGACAATAGTAAAAGCACCTGTTTACATAAAACAATAAGAAAGTAAAGTGCGGTAGTAATAAACTGAAAAAGACAAGGTCTAAGATGTTAATTTTAAAAGTATAACTACTTTTACCTTTACCTTTTGAACTCTTTTATGCGCAAGATGCTGCAAGAGACTTGAGTCTAACATGTCCATGTGTTTACACGGAAAAACGATGGAAAAGTAGCATAGTGGAATATAAAAACACCTACTGTGTGAACGGATCCTTACAATGTATGCTGTGGTCAAGCTAAATTTCATGTCATTGTGTAAATAAATTAACAGGAGTGAAATAAGAGCTCAAGTTTTTAAAGATTAAGCACTGACTGACTAATGGTGTTCATTTCTTCTTCGGAAATGTGTATTATCGTACTGATTTGTGTCATTTTATCAAACAGGACTGAGGGTTTTAGAGTGACACAAACCACAAAAATATTGCACGTAGCTGACTATACTGTTATTTTCCCAGCAGAAGTTATTTCACTTCCTGGAGGATGATTGAAAATTGTGAAAATTATTGAAAATTTGATCCATTATACAGCATGAAACCATTGTAAATGGATTTTAGCCAAATTTCCCCAAGCAGAATATCGTAGTCATGTCATACCCTTCATCATAATGCGTGTCTTGTGTTAACACAGTACAGAACAGAAGAATGACACAAGAGCCAGTAAAAAGTGAATTGTTTGGATCTATATTGTCATGACAGAATGTCCTCATGGTCAGATCTTTATCCTACTACACTGTTCTGAAGAGTATCCAACACAGATAAGATAACAGTTTCAGCCACACTGTGCATTTCATTTGTTGTGTTCATTGTGTGTATGTAGTTGTTTGGATGGTAAAGGAGGCCGTGAAGTTTAGCAGCTTTGTGTGTGCGTGTGTGCGTGTCTGTCTGTGTGTGTGAGTGTCTGTGTGTGTGTGCGCACGCGTTTTTGTGACAAATGAGGACATAAATTTGTATAATGACAAGGGTATGACAGGTATTACAAGGAGAAGGTGACTTTTCAGGACATTACCCCATGTCCCCACTTTTCAAAACGCATATAAATCACACAGAATGGAGTGTATTGAAAATCTGAAATAGCACAAAGTTTCCTGTGAGGGGTAGGTTTAGGGGTAGGGTTGGTGTAGGGCAATAGCACACAGTATAAAAGTATAAAAACCATTACGCCTATGGAGAGTCCCCACTTTTCACAAAAACAAACCTGTGTGTGTGTGTGTGTGTGTGCGCGTGTATGCTGTGTTGTACTGGCCTCATGTCAGTGCTTTGTGTCCAGCTGCAGCTGGGTGTTTCCTGTAAGGGGTAGGTTTAGGGGTAGGGTTGGTGTAGGGCAATAGAATATACGGTCTGTACAGTATAAAAACCATTACGCCTATGGAGAGTCCCCACTTTTCACAAAAACAAACCTGTGTGTGTGTGTGTGCGCGTGTATGCTGTGTTGTACTGGCCTCATGTCAGTGCTTTGTGTCCAGCTGCAGCTGGGTGTGTGTGTGTGTGTGTGTGTGTCAGAGGGCGGATCCGTGGCTGCTCGTGCTCACCATCTGCCCGCTGCTGACACCTTTGTTCCGTGTGGGGATTCCGGCCCTGACCTCACCCTGAGTCAATTCATCTGGCCATTTCCTGCCCATGTGCTCCCCAAGCCAAGGTCTGAGCTGCCATTAGAGGACTGTGATCTGGATTTAACATCAATGCTAAATTACAACATAACAACATAAATGCAACACATTTGTATTTATAAAAGTATGTTTTTTTTTGCACTTCATACAGTGAATATATTTTAATGTTTATATATAAGTACACATTTTCAAAAAAAAAATTTAAACCAATTGCAAAATCTATTTTTATTTATTCAATTGATCTTTATTCATTCATTCATCTTTTATGTATCTATTTTCCTTTTTATTATAATTTAGTTTTTCTCACAATTATTTTTTTCCACCTTTTTTTTTTTTAAACAGACCATTACCAAAAACAAATAATATTTTCTACATTTTAAAAATGACTTTAAGTATATATTTTTAACAGTTTTTGAGTACAGATTGCAAAAATCTTTGGGATTCATTCATTCATTTGTCTTATTTTACTTTGTTTTTTTTTCTCTAAAATTACTGTTTGTTTTTTCAAACAGGTCAGTAGCAAATCCAAATATGCATGTGATGAAAATGTAGGTTACCACACATTAGCTCTGTCTGTCCTTTGATCAGATAAAATTTTGATCAAAATATTCTAAGCGTGTATGTGTGTGTGTGTGTGTGTGTGTGTGTGTGTGTGTGTGTGTGTGTGTGTGTGTGTCTGTGTGTGTGTGTGTGTGTGTGTGTGTCTGTGTGTCTGTGTGTGTGTGTGTGTGTGTGTGTGTGTGTGTGTGTGTGTGTGTGTGTGTGTGTGTGTGTGTGTGTGTGTGTTTCTTAAAATTATTGAGGTTTTTTTTATTGTTTGTTACTTTTCCCAAAACAGGTCAGTAGTAAATCCAAATAATATTAAGTTCATTTAAAAAAAAAAAAATCTAATTTAGAACTGATATTGAAAAATCTTTGGTCTTTTATTTATTTATGAATATATTGAATTATTCATTCATTTGTGCTATTTATTTTATTTATATTTATTACGTTGATGATTTTTTATTTTATTATAATTATTTTTTTCAAAAAGGTCAGTAGCAAGACCAAATAATGTCATACATGTGATGAAAATGTAGGTTACCACACAATAGCTCTGGCTGCATTTTGATCAGAAGAAAAGATTAATTCAGAACTTAATGCTCATGAATATTCAATGAGCTCGCTGTCCGTCACTGGCGGCCGCGCCCAGTCCGCTCTGGGTCTCTTTAAAGCGACAGGAAGAGCGAGTTGAGTTCCAGCCTCAGATTATAGTGTTGTTCGGAGCGGTGGCTGTTACATGGGTTTTTCGACGTCAGGGTGTAAAGGTCTTTAAGAAAATTATCACATGCCGTTACTGTACACTCGTCTGTAAGCAGCGCGTGCTATTTGTGAATGTTAGTATGAATGGTAAGGTTGGGAATGGAGCAGCGGGCGGTGTGCTGGCCTGTATTGAGGGTCTGCCGCCGCTGCCCAAGAGCCTGAGCGGACTGCTCAACTCCAGCGGCGGCTCGTGGAGAGAGATGGAGAGGATGTATGTGAAGAAGACCATGATTCAGGACGACTTGAGCCGAGGAAGGAATAACACGGACAATCTGCTGGCGAATAAACCAGCAAACCTGGATGCCGCCCTGGCTTTGCTCAGAAAAGAGATGGTAAGGGTACAGAATAGCGAGCAACAGCTGTACTCCCGACTGCAGGCGTTCATTTACCACAGTGCCTGTGTTTTACAGTCTAGTAACCTTCCTGCCTAGTCAACATGCTTGGACAGCGTAGTCACGAATAGAACGTTTTTGTAACGCGAATCGATTCGAAAGTTCGGAAGGAACAAGTATTGAACGCGCCTGTGATGCGCAGATTAATCGATTCGAATGTTCGCAACTCGTCTGTTGTTCGCTTCGAATGATTCGAAGGTGACCGTTATCCTGGAAAATGATCGATTTGGATGTTTAGAACACGCATGTGATTCCCAACAAAATGCTCTGATTGCGCCCAATTAATTAATTAGTTAATTTTTTTGTTTCGTTTGAGCCGCAACATTGTTCGATTAACGCTAGAATGTTTCGATTGCGCCAGTGATGAACAAAAATGTCTGTGATGCTCAAAATGTCTGATTCGGATGTTTTGAATGCACTTGTGATGCCCAAAATGTTAGATTATACTGTTACGAGCTAGTCTGTGGTGCCCAAACATGTTCACTTGGGATTGTTTTGAACGTGACTGTTATTCTAAATGTTTAATTTGAATGCTTTAATACTCCCTTAAGTCCGCGAATGAACAATGTTCGGTTTGTCATTTTTGTTCAGGCTCACCTGTGATGAACAATTATGTTCAGTTTGCAAATTCGTAACCTACCGGTGATACAAATTATTATTATTATTTGTTTTTATATGTTTTGAAAGTGAACCCGATCTTCAATTTTTTAGTTTTAATTAGAATATTTTGAACACTTCTGTGATTCCCAACAGTGTTCGATTCAAATATTCCGATTGTGCGGGTGATGAGCACAAATGTTCGCTTCGTATGTTCGAGTCCACTGCGATGGCCACAAATGTAATTTAGTTTGCTGGCATTGTTTAGTTTTACAGCAGACTCTTTCTATAGGACATATTATTTATTGTATGATATTCTACATAGTATTTTTTTTTTTTTTTCCCCCCCCGGATTTAATCAACATTGGAAATTTTATAAGATCTTTTTTTATAAAGGGAGAAGCATATCATTTCATAATGAGGTTTACAGTAAATCATGTTAAACTTGCGTTGATGATTTTATAGACATTTGTTTGATGCTTCACCCCTCTGAATTCAGAAAAGTCTTATTTCTTGTTGAGCAGTCGCTCGCTGGGTGCTTGCAGAAGACAGGGTTTAGTTTTTTATTGAAAATATGCATTCTGAATTTGCTGGAAATGCTACCAATTCTTTGCTGAAATGTAATCCAGGATATAACCAGCACAAAGAGCTTGTGACCGCATCACCAAAACAAAACGCAATGTCCCAGTATGCTCATTGCATTATGTATTGTGTAACTCCTTGTGAGCATATAGTAAATCGATAACCAGCTCCATAACATTTCCATAGTGTTTACTTCTCACCTTGTGTAAACCTATTCTAGATCGTGTATTGTAGATGTTTTATTTATTTGCTTATAATTGCTGCTTGGATTCAGTCTTCCATTGTGCTTGAACTTCCTCTCCGTGCACATCATGGGAGTGTCATCGTGTCTCTTTTTGCTCAAGTGTCAAGTGACTCGCATAAGGTCACCTGTATTCATAATGTAAGATAATAAACTTTGTTTATGCCACACTCTAAAAAATGCTGGGTTAAATACAACCCAGCATTTTTTAGAGTGCAAGTACAATGCCCATTAAATACACCAAAAAGATTCAGTGTGTGCATATCATAGCATGCCTTCATAATGTAAGATAATAAACTTTGTTTATGCCACACTCTAAAAAATGCTGGGTTAAATACAACCCAGTGCTGGGTAAAATAGGGACAAACCCAGCAATTGGGCTGTTTTGACCCAGCGGTTGGGTTAAATGTTTAACCCAACCTTCTGGGTAGTAACCCAACCACTGGGTCAAAACAAGCCAATTGCTGGGTTTGTCCCTATTTTACCCAGCACTGGGTTGTATTTAACCCAGCATTTTTTAGAGTGCAAGTACAATGCCCATTAAATACACCAAAAAGATTCAGTGTGTGCATATCATAGCATGCCATAATGTAAGCATTTTATACAGAGTAACATTTTCTTGATGTGTTGGTGAATCGAATGCCTGTTATGGATCATCTAATTCTGTAATTGATAACTGGTAATCATCAGAGAGTGTTTCCTCTACAAGAATATTAATAACAGCCGAGAGAGAATGTCTTCTACCTCTATTGTGTTTGAGCTCTGAAATCTTTTCTTCTCACACCAGCAGACAAATCCTGATTCAATTTTAACACACTCTTCCGATATATTACCTTCAATTCTGAGAGAAAAAAAATCGAAAAAATGTTATGCAGCCAGCAAGGCTTTAGGTGCTTTGACCAAAATCAGCACTGAACTTCGCACATCGTGCCTTGACGCACCTTGGCTTTGAATCCAGGTGTTTTTGCCATCATACTATTTCATATCTACATCCAGCATCTTCATGCATCCATTTCAGTCCCTCTCATTAACAGAAGAAAGATCCACCCAGTAAATGTCTCCTCACCACCCATCTCATTATCTTCTACCCTGCGGTGATTTATTGTTGTGATCCTGCTCGGAAATTCCCACTGGGTTTTCGTAATTTGCATAGAAATCAGTAAAAGTGATCTTTGGCCTGTTTGATCTCTGTGGTTGGTCGTGAAATGATTTCTGCAGTTTTGCATACAAAGATGCAAAATGATCTGGTTTGATGGCAGTCTGTGTTCTTGAATGTTTTTCCAAATTTTTAAAATGTGTTTTAAATGCAAAACATTGCATATGTGAGGTTTGAACCGATCATTGATGCGGGAATGATCCTTTTGTATGTTTTATTGTGTGTTAGCGAAATAAAATAAATGTAATATAATGTATGGTCCATCTGGTTTTTATGTCACTTTAGAATTTTAGTGTTCAAATTCTTCATTCAATATAAATATCAACATAATTATTAAATAAATACCTTGTGGGTAAAAAAATGTGGCTTTCCAGAATAAGCGTTTCAGACTGTAGTATGCATTGTTGTCACATGACATTTTTCGCTTAATTCCAGTTGTTTGTTTTTCATTTAAATGCAATTTTGTGTAAAAATATCTTAGTTCCGTTAAATAATGAATGCAGTTGATACTACTTTAGGTTCATCCATTACACTGGAAATAGAAGGTCAAGTTGATGCATTGTGGGATACAATATTTCACACATACTTTTATTCTGCTCATTTTGAAAACGTAGTAGCGGGCATCCACTGAATCTATTCTGTATATGCAGAAAACATGCTTAATGTACACAGTATACATTTTTTGAAGTTGAAATAGCACACTGTCATATACCACTCTTACTACAGCTGCAGTATTTAGTTTGTATACTGTGCACAGTATGCAAATGTTATGCACAGAATATCAGCCTGACCTACATATGCCAAAATGAACAGTACACAAGAGCTTACTGTGTGGAACATTGCATCCAATAATGCAAAGCACTCAATTTAACTTTCCATCTCATTTTTGATGTATTATTTGACTATCCTGCCTAACTTGAATCCTCTCGCTAAATGAAATGAGGTCAGGTGTTGACAATGACTGTGTCAGACTTCGAAGTCCACACCTCTTTGGCCACAAAGGTCGAATCGAATTGTTAAATGGTAAGAGTGGCAGTAATATTTGTACTGGACTTTTTAGAGAGTTACATTCAACTGTCTAAAAACCAAACAGGGTTCACAACCTGTCCTCAATATGTTCACCTTGGTCCATTTATGTGCATAATAAAAACTATAAACTAGCTATGAAATCACATCCTAGATTTTTTTGTAACATTTGTGTCATTAGATATTCGAAACCTATTACCATCCCAGCCAACATGTTCATGTGGGCCCCACATGGGATTTATCTGGGCTATATGGGCATCAACTGGGCATGGGCTCAGAGTGGGCACTTTTATGGGCTGAATGTGGGCCCCAGCTTGGTTAAAGTTGTGGGCCCCAGTTAGGTTGCCCATTATTGCTTATTTGTGGGTCCCATATGGGCCACATTTGGGCTATATTAGGCTATATTTATAGTTACATACTTTTTTTTTTTTGCAGTTGATTTATTTTATACAATTATGGGTTACTACATAATCCTAACAATTTAATAAATTGATTTAATTTGATGTATTCCATGTGTATATCATCAAGGATTATATCATAATGTAATGTATATATATACTGTATGTTTATATATATATATATATATATATATTAGTACTGTCAAACGATTAATCGCGATTAATCACATCCAAAATAAAAGTTTTTGTTTACGTTTAAATAGTAGGGAAAAAAATACTATGGAAGTCAAAGGCAACCACCAACTGTTTGATTACCAGCAATCTTCAAAATATCTTCTTTTGTGTTCAACATAAGAAAGCAACTCATACAGGTTTGGAACGACATGAGGGTGAGTGATTGATGACAGAATTTTCATTTTTGGGTGAACTATCCCTTTAATAGCAGGGGAAAACACCTTACTGGTGAACTCGTGCACAGTTCTATGAAGAAATTAAGAAACCTAAAAGAGATTTATTTTCCTTCAATGAAAGTCCATTCTACCAAAACTTCCAAGCTTCAAAAAGTAATCCATACAAATCAAGAGATTTTATTTCCATGCTTCTAAAACACAATGCAATTATTAACAAATTAAAACTGTAAAACAATTCTTCTTATGATGTCACTGAAGAATGAGGGTATGGGTCTCTCTTGACATGTTTGAGCTGACCTTTGCCCTCAGCCCATCCCCCTCTTAAAGCAGTATCAGGGTTCAGAGCTGTTCATAGCTCAGTGCAGCACTTCACTATGATTGAATTAAAACACTTCTCTCTCTCTCTCTCTCTCTCTCATTTTTATTCGTTGTATTTTCTGTTTTATTTAAATTTTAGTTAAAGTTTTAGTCATTTGGTTGTTTTTTAAATAGTTCTTTAAATATGTATGTATAGTTTTAATTATCTTTTTTTATTGCCATTTTTAATTTTAGTACATCAAGTTAAAGTAGATGAAAATGAAGAGTGTTGGCTTGGTGCATATGTATATTATATACATATATGTGACCCTGGAGCACAAAAGCAGTCTTAAGTCGCTGGGGTATATTTGTAGCAATAGCTAACAATACATTGTATGGGTCAAAATGATTGATTTTTCTTTTATGTCAAAAATCATTAGGATATTAAGTAAAGATCATGTTCCATGAAGATATTTTGTAAATGTCCTACAGTAAATATATCAAAAGTTAATTTTTGATTAGTAATACGCATTGCTAAGAACTTCATTTGGACAACTTTAAATGTGAATTTCTCAATATTTTGAATTTTTTGCACCCTCAGATTCTAGATTTTCAAATATTTGTATCTCGGCCAAATGTTGTCCTATCCTACAAATCATAATATTAAGTAAAGATCATGTTCCATGAAGATATTTTGTAAATGTCCTACAGTAAATATATCAAAAGTTAATTTTTGATTAGTAATACGCATTGCTAAGAACTTCATTTGGACGACTTTAAATGTGAATTTCTCAATATTTTGAATTTTTTGCACCCTCAGATTCCACATTTTCAAATATTTGTATCTCGGCCAAATGTTGTCCTATCATACAAATCATACATCATTGGAAAGCTTATTTGCATCTATCATATAGATGATGTATAAATCTCAATTTCGGAAATAAATTGACACTTAAGACTGGTTTTGTGGTCCAGGGTCACATATATACTCCCCTAACATTGTTTAGCAGTTGACCTCTAAATATATAAGATATATTTTATAATATATTTAAAATTAATTAGAAAAGTATAATAAAATAATGTATTTCAGACTACAATAGAGAGACCGATTCCGTTACATGTGTATTTTAGCATGGAATGCTATATTGACTGATCATCATCCAAGACCTTAACTATTTAGTTTTCATATGATTGGGAAGCAGGCCTGTTGTAGCATCATTTTAACTTTTCTAACTTGTACTCTTTATTGAAAATAATGACACTGAATTTATGCTAAATTTACCCAGATGGCATCTGAAAAACAATACAGTAGGCTATTCAAAGAATGACTGAAACTAATTGACTTTAATTTGAGCGCAGCCCAACCTTACATTCTCTACTTACTGGATCATTTCATTTCAGGACTTATTTAGCATGCCATTTCACTCTTAAACAATACTGATCTATGAAACAGACACACAGAGATTCTTCAGACCTGAACCAAACCCTATGTCAGAAACGACAACGAATACCAGTGTGATCAAGCAGATATTTAAAAACCTGTCCTGACTTGTGGACGTTCCACACTGACCGGTGTTTAGTCATTTAGTCATAGTGTAACAATCTTCATATGACAAAATCTATTCAGTGTGGATTGAATATTTCCACTCCATACACTGAAAAACAAATATATATTCATTTAAATGATCTTTCAAAAATAGTGTGTATGTATGTATATGCATATGTATCTATACACGCACACACCACACACACACCACACAGACACAGACACAGATGCACACACACACACGCACTCACACACACCACACAGACACACACTCACACAGACACACACGCACTCACACACACCACACAGACACACACTCACACAGACGCACACGCGCTCACACACACACGATCTAGCTATTACTCAGTTTATTAGTTAAAATACATACATACATAAACGTGTTACACAATCTTTAGTAGTTATCATGTGTGTGAGAGAGAGTGTGTGTGTGTGTGTGTGTGT